CTTAACATTGTCATGGGTGAGAATGTTATCAGTTTTATTTTTAGTCATATACAGTAATGGACAAAAGTATATAGACAAATTAATATTGTACTGTATTTCTTTTTTAACTTGTTTTATTAATACACCAACCTGTATAAATAAATTCATTAGACTCCCTTCAATAAAAAAAATAATTGATAAAAACTGGAACTATGAAGGACACAAATGTATAGACAAAGCAAAACAATTATAGAAAAAAGGAGCAAAGTTCAGTGAATTATAGAAAACCAACCATGTTTGTGTTAATATTTTGTAGCATAACCATTATTATCAATCACCGCCTGACATAGATTGTAGAAGTTTCTTGATATAAGATTCATCAATCTCTCTCCACTTTTGCTCTAAAGCGGCAAAAAGTTCATCCTTGTTTGAATAATTTTTATCTCGTATTTGCTCATCTAAGTATTCCCATAGATTTTCAATGGGGTTTATATCGGGAGACTATTAAGGCTATTTGAGAACTGGTATTTTTTCATCCAGAAAGAATTTCTTTGCTAGATTTGAAGTGTGATTCGGGTCATTATCTTGCTGGAAGATTGATCTTAAGGGCATACAGTCTTCCATATAGAGTAACATGACATGCTTTAGTATGTCTGTGTATACAAACTTATCCATAATGCCATCTATTCTATGTAAAGGTCCCATTCCAAACCCCGAAAAGCATCCCCAAACCATAACAGACCCGCCTCCATGTTTGACAGTGGGCAACGTGTACTTGGGGTTCAATCTTTGTCCACTAGGACGTCTAACGTAATGAACACGATCTGATCCAAACATATTGAACTTGGATTCGTCACTGAAACATACCCAGTCACAGATGCTCCAATCAAGATGCAACCGTGCAAATTGTAATCGGTCCTTACGGTTTTTCCTCGACATTCGCGGCTTCTTAGTCGGGCGACGTACAAATAATTTCAAATCATTTAATCTTCTACTTATAGTTTTCGTAGAAACACTGGCAATTGCTTTTGTCTCGATTTCGGCTTTTATTTGTCTTGGGGTTTTAAACGGATGTTTGGACTAAATTACTTTTATTAATCTAACTGATCTAGCATTTAGTTTTCTAGGCCGACCACTTCTCAAACTGCTTTACGCTTCAGCTTCAAATTTTTGGCAATGTCGACTTGACGTTGACCATCTTTCTATAACTCAATGATCTTAGTTTTCACATCGAAAGAAATTTCTGGACCACGCGGCATGGTCTTATAATCTCTCAACTTATTCCACAATACTTGATGAACACAAACTAATCCTCTTCTGACTCTAAACTGTACTGACTAATGTTGAAAAGAATTTGTCTACATATTTTTTCCCCATAAAAAAGTGCTTATGTTTAGACTTGTATTGTGTTCATTGCAGATAATGTAAAAACAAGGAATTTACTTTTTCTACTAATAACGCATTTGTTTGAGGAGCAATGAAGAAATTCGTTTTCTAAAGGTATTTCGGTAAATATTCATATTTGTCTATATACTTTTGTCAATTACTGTAGATCTATAATGTACGCACTAAAAGTAAACTTGGATTAAACTAGCGAAAATAGTTAAGCCAAGTATGCCAAGTAAAATGTCGCTCTTGAATGAGATACAGGGTGTATCCAAATACAATAGCAAAAGCGCCAACCTTTTACCAGAATCAATCACTATCTGAGTGAATAGCAGCTGTTTGATGGAACTGTGAAGTATCTCAGTTCGCATCTAATACAGTGTCCTCACTCTGACCGCTCGATGCCTTCGATTCTGGCCTACTTGCCGTTGAAATCTAATAAGGTTGCTTTTGTCCGTCCGAACAAGCAGATCGCCAACCGTCTACAGCTGTTTCATACTTATTGGTAATCATCAGCACGGATGCTGAAACGGACCATGCCCGTGAGAAGTGCAGAGTCAACCTTCTCGACGCTATTTTTTTTAATTATATTTATATGGACATTCGGTATATTGAAGATGCGAAATTACCACGAGTTTAATAGCGAACTACTTTTTGACGCATTTTTTACAGACCGCGCTGTATACCGAACACACAAGTCGCTGGTACGGATTGCCAAATTCGAAGACTCGGAAACTACTCGTGGAAAAACTTCGGGCCCCTGAAAACTTTTGTTCTGAGATCTACAACATACTGAATTTATTTAAAAAAACTATCCATTTAAGCTTTCTGCGAAGAATTTTGCTTTCAGATACAATATTGTTCGGTGTTATATTTACCATTCTCTGAACGAGGCTTTTGCGTGAATGTAAAATTTAAACGAATTGATATATCCGTAATACCGGGAATAAAATGGTGAGCTAACAATAATAATTTCACAGTGAAGGATTACTGTTTTTACGTATTTACCATACAGTGCATTTTAGAAAGGTGCACTCGTAGTTATTTTTTTGAACGAATCAGGAATCATCGGAGTGATGTAATTGACGCATGAATACTCTATTTTATCGTAATAACAGTGTAAAATTTCGTGAAGCCGCCATAAAATAACATTTTTTAAACCCTAGTATATGAAACAACGGACTAGCATGCTGTCATAGCTGAACGTTTTTGTATATTGAATCGCTAATAAGTCAAATAATCGTTAAAACGTTATAGTATGTCGATATCAATCTCATTTAAGAAGGGCCTATCGGAATGTTTAATAAAATATGGGATATTCAATTAAAAAAATGACAGCTTGACTTTTTAAAATATTTTTTTTATTTTTCATAACAATAGACGTCCATACAAAAAGAGCATTTGGTAATGTGTGGCGCTATTTTTCCTCGGGAATGTATTTATGGTCGGTTATGTATTCCCCTATCGACGAAACGAGACCCAGTCCAGCGTTTTCGGGGCCGCGTCGCGGTGGCAGGATATACGAACCCCTTCCCACTTCAGTTGGCCCACTTCAAGATTTGTACCAAAATATGCCTTTATAAACTGAACATGGCGAAACTATTTACTTCTAAAACAATTTATTTTAGATACACTCTAGTCGTAAAAAATACATATTTGAAATCACTTAGACCTATAACTAATAGAACTACTGAACAAATAAACAATGTCCGAATAAATGCGCGAAGTTAACAAAGCAACAATTGAAAGATTACCATTGGGTAACATCACCTTTATTTTTTATTACGGCTGAAATTCTTTGGGGCATAGCGTTAACCAAGTTTTGGCAAAAATTTGGTGTAAAACAATCCCATATTTCTTGAAGCTTTTGTCTCAGTTCGGTGATTGTACGAGCAGGATTTTGTCGTAGAACCTTTTTCATCTCGTGCCACAAAGTTTCAAAAGGTGACAGATCTGGACTGCTAGAAACCCATTTAAAAAGTGGTACATTATTTTCTCCCATCCATTTTATAGCCTTTTTTGAGGTATGGCACGCTGCACCATCTTGCTGGAACACAAAATCTTGACCGGATGTCAAACATTCTTCCATCACTGGTAAAAGCGATTCTTCTAAAATTGCCAAATATTTGTTTGTATTCACATTTCCATCAATAAAATGAAGTTTTCCTACTACTTTTGATGACATACTGCCCCAGACCATAATGGATGCTGGAAATTTCAGACAGTCAACATGGAATGCTTGTTGGTGTTTTCTACTATATATTATCAAAATATTCATTGTTAATATTTTAAACCTCTAACACCCTGCTACATTTTTATTATTTGTTTGATAAGAAAAAACTAAGATTTCAATAGTTGGGCCAACTGAAGTGGGAAGAGGCTCGTACATCGACCAAAACCTCTAGATATCGCCGCAAGCGCTCACGCACGGTCGTGTAACTGATTGCCTAAGCGTCGACTCTGCAAAGCCGGCGCATCACCACTCAAAGTCCCAGTTACGAGGGCATTACAATACGTGAATTATTACAGTTCAATTTTTCGTTTCATGTGTGCCATGGCATGTGCTGTTAAACATATACTATATCTGTTGTCATTATTGGACCTAACCGACAATATTGTTAAAGTCTGGGATCACCAACAAGTGACACCATTAGTTCTTTGACATTTCACCAAGGTATTTGAAACTATAAATCACGAACATTTGATAGCTAAAATATTATGGTTTCTGTTTGATTTCATCGGGAGTGCCAGTACTCGGTACTTGGACCGCTTCTGGTTAAACAAAATTGTAAATTACTGTAATACTCAATTTTTAGCAGACGATTCACAACTATATTTTAGCTTTGATCACAGTAATATGAATACTGCTGAAGTTCAGATTTGAAATCTGTTGAAAATTATTCCGCCTTCAGTTAAATCCACCTAAATCTAAAGTATTATTTTTTTTTCCTAAACGACTTAGAAGTTATATTAAAACAAACTTACAATAGGATTAAACGGCAATGTTATTCAAATTGAGGAATCGGCAAAAACAATTATTTTTTTGACAGAACCTCAAGTTCATATATGATGTAAAAAACATTGCTAAAAGATGCTTTGGTTTTACTAAAAAATATGCAAAACTGTGATATGAGGGATGTCTTTTAAGTTTTGCATATATAAACATAGTAGGCCGCGCGGATCGAACGTCAGTACTGAATCTTAACCTCACTCTTTAGTAAACTTAAATTCAAAGTTTCGCAACGATACATGCACAGTGTTCTCACTACAGTGAATTTTTAAGTGTCACCCAGTCATTAGAAAAATGGAACTCAACCGAGAACATTTTCGCGCCATAATTTATTACAACTTTCAGAGACAATTATCGCAACAAGAATGCCTTGCTGAGTTACTGTTTTGGGCAACGAAGCGCCACATCAGTCGACAATTTCCCGTTGCTATGGAGAATTCAAACGTGGACGGGTGAGTCTTAGCGACGATCCCAGGGTGGGTGCACCAAAAACGGCAGTCACCCAGGAAAACGTCGATGCTGTGCGCAAACTCATCATTGAAGATAGACATGTGACATACCGCGAGATTGAGGCGTCCTTGAAGATCTCAAAGACCTCAATTCAAAAAATTTTACATGAAGAATTAGGAGTAAGAAAATTAGTTTCTCGTTGGATACCCCACCTGTTGACTGAAGAGCAGAAAGCAGTCAGGGATAATTGGTGTTAAAAAAAGCTTGACCGTTTCAATTCCGGAAACTCAAAAAATGTGTACAGCATTGTTAGTGGTGATGAATCGTGGATGGTGTTACGAACCAGAAAATAAACGACAGTCGGCTGTTTGGGTGTTCCAAGGTGAAGAAAAGTCTACAAAAGCCATCCGTTCTCGAAGTGTTTCGAAAAAGGTGGTCGCGACATTTGTGTCAAAAGCGGGTCATATTGCAACAATTCCCCGAAAGAAGAATCATCCTCCACCAAGACAATGCAAGCTCACACACAGCCCAAAAAACAAGGCAATATTTAACGGAAAAAAACGTGGAATTATTGGACCATCCTCCATAAAGTCCCGATCTAAGTCCTAACGATTTCTTTACTTTCCCGAAAATTAAAAACAGACTGCGTTTTAAAAGGTTCCAGTCACCAGAAGAAGCAGTTGACGCATTCAAAAATGCCGTTTTGGATCTGCCAGCAAACGAGTGGAATAAGTGCTTCGAAAATTGGTTCGAGCGCATGCAGATGTGTATTAATCTTCGTGGAGAATACTTCGAAAGACAATAAAGTCATTTAAAACTACCTACCGTGTTGTTTTATTTCCATATGCAAAACATAAAAGACATCCCTCGTAATGTCAAAAATGACTTGCTGCGACTTAGCATATCATCCATATTTAGAATTTAGATTTTATATTCGTGAAACGATTACAAAAACTACAAAATTACTGTAGTTCGAAAATTGCTGTTATCATTTTTATGGAATTTTGACACAGATCTACTACTGTGTCAGTGATGAAATAGTTTTTAGTAAGTACCATAGCTTCCTCAAATTTCAAGATCTTTTAAACTGTCATATGCAGCTAAATCTAATAGAATTTTCGACTACAGGCAACTTCCCAATTTCTTTTACAATATTTCATGTTTTTGACAACCCGAATAAGAGCGACAATTCATCGATATCGTAGGCAAAAACTAATGCTAAAGTTACACAATGCCCTTCAAGCTGTTTAGTATCTTTGTAACAGTTCTTTTGATGAATCGTTTTATATCTGGGTTGTAATGGGGTTTTTTGTTACAGGATTTGAGTGGTGGCAATAGTAATGATAGTTCCGGTGGCCCAGCACCTGGAACCCCAAACTCTCAGGGTATGAGGCCGTCACCATCTCCTACGGGGTCGTCAGGATCTAGGTCGATGTCGCCTGCTGTAGGTCAGTATACTGCAATTTTACTTTCCACGCTAGTTTGCGACGAAATATTAAAGTGAATAAGCTATGTAAAAAGTCGGAAAGTAACGTGAATTACGAGTTTCCCGCGTTTCTCCAAAGGAAACCTTTATTCATAAGTAAGGTTTTAAGCTCCAGTTCTTCCAAAAGCTGAATTGGTCCCGCCAAATTAAGTTGTGTTTATTTTAAGCTCCTCCCAAAGGCAGCCCAGAAACCCGAATTTAAATTCAGTACTGGCGATGTCCTTGATATGGCAGCAATTTTAACATTTTTTTAAATCTGATCATAACAGTGATAAATACAAAATTTGTGACATGACAATTTTTGGGTCTATCTTATGTATTTTGAGACCCTTAAATCTAATCTAAAAGCAGAATTTTTCTATCACCCACAGATATTCGGTAACATCTACTTCCATGATTTACAATACGTAACATCTCATCTTACTGCATTTTGGAATTAAAGTTGGCGGCCAAGATCAAATATGAGCTCCTCCTATATGTTGTAAGACTTGTGTAACGTTGTTAACAGGTTGGTTAAGAGGTGGCAATCGTAAAATGCCCTTTGCGGTACCAATGGTTTGGAGAGAGCCGAGAGACCATACTACTTATTGCTATTTTTGCCTCAGAAATATTAAAGGTATTGGACCAAAATCGAAACATACTGTTAAGTATTTTAATTCACCATCAGCTGTGCGGCCCGTTAAGCATAGTGATGAACTTTCTGTCCCAGTTCCAGTAGAATCTTTTCTTTGGATGAAAAAGTCGAATCCACCGATACAGAAAGCGTAAAAATTTCCGATCCCTCGTTTGACCTGCCAGGATGTTCAACAGCACCGCATTTGATCACACAGGGCGAACTTAAAGACTTAGTTCGAGAATTAAATCTGTCAAACTCCCAGTCAGAAGTTTCAGCGTCAAGATTAAAAGGATGGAATCTTCTCCACGGTGATGTTAACATTACTTTTTACCGAAAACGGCAACAAGACCTCACACACTGTTTCCGTCAAGAAAGGGAGTTAATATATTGCTCCGATGTCAACGATTTGTTTGACGCGTTAGGACAGAAACATGATCCAAATGATTGGCGCCTGTTCATTGATTCCTCTAAGCTTAGTTTAAAAGCGGTATTGGTACTCAACGGTAATAAATATCCGTTTGTACCTATAGCGCACGCAGTTCATATCAAGGAATGATATGGAAATATGCGAGTTCTGTTAGAGCCTATCCGTTAGAATGAATATGGATGGGCCATTGCAGATTTAAAGGTAATAGCCCTTCTTCTTGGAATAGCAGTGGGATATATCAAATATTGTTGTTTTCTTTGTGAATGGAACAGTCGTGCGCGAGATCGTCATTATGAAGAGAACGAGCGGCCACTACGTCTGGTATTAACTCCGGGCCTCAAAAACATTGCTCATGAACCTCTAGTTGAACCCAAAAACGTGTTGCTTCCACCTTTGCATATTAAGTTGGGACTGATGAACATTTTTGTGAAAGCTATGGATCAAAATGGAAGAGGGTTTCTGCATTTAAAACAAACATTTCCGAGACTTAGTGAGGGAAAATTTAAACCGGGCATTTTTGTGGGTCCACAAATACGGAAAATCATGAGGGATGACATATTTGACAGTTCTCTAAATGAAACTGAATTACGAGCTTGGAATGCTTTTAAATCAGTTACTGCAAATTTTTTAGGCAGTCTGAAGGCGGACAATTATAAAAATTTTGTGAGACAACTAATTAATGCTTATAGAAGAATGGGATGTAACATGTCTCTAAAAATTCACTTTTTGGATTCTCATCTCGATTTTTTTATGTGATGAACATGGCGAACGGTTCCACCAAGACCTTTCTGCTATGGAAAAACGGTATCAAGGCAAATGGAGTGTCAATTTGCTTGTTGATTTTTACTGGACATTGTAAAAAGATACTTCAGGAGCAACATATCGCCGTAAAACATCGACAGCAACATTCTGAGATTAATGTTTATTCGAGTGCTTATTAGTACTCTTACACACATATCCTCATATTTTACGAGTATAAGCAGCAAATAAAATGCCTTATTGCAAGAAAACCGTGGGTGATAGAAAAAATCGAATGCTATTTCCGGATTTTTGGGTACGTTTTACATAATAACCACCTTGTTTTGACCATGTCACAAAAAGTTAGTTTAATTTTGTTCACCAGTGTAATCAGATCTGACGGTGCCCACCTCCAACAAAGATGTAGCTTCAAGTCAAGATTTCGAGCATATGGATGAATATACTCGGTATTTGGGTTTTCAGTTTCAAGAATGAAAAAAATTAATAATGTCTTGGGCTACCTCGCTGCTAAATACGCTCCTGTATACGACTAAGCATCGACAAAATGTGAAGATCGATGTCTCTTTGTGGCTAGTCATTCCAAGCAACTCGAACGTAGATTAGCTGTGGCAGAGTTTGTGGCGGAATGGTGCAAAGCGGATAGTCTCCTCCCCTTCATATCCCACACATGTTCCATGGGATTTAAATCCGGTGAACGGGGTGGCCACGGCAAGACATTAACACCTGCTTCTCAAAGAAAGTCCTTAGTACGACAATATGGGGACGTGCGTTGTCTTGCCCTGTAGATACGACAGTAAAGTGGTTTGTAGGACATCATCAACATAACGCGCAGCAGTCATATTGCCTTGAACAAAGAGAAGGGGCGATCGGCTCCCATAGGCAATAGCCCCCAAACCAGTCCTGTGTATACTTTATCTGAAGTCACTTGAAACACTGTGAAATACCGGGTGCGTTTTATATATCTATATTTAACACGCTCTTTTGCTGCAAAAATCGCCAAATTTCGCAGCAAATATCCCCCGTATAAGATCAAAGGCAGTTTCACCGGTCCACGTGGAGTAAAGCACGCCTATGCGTGGACATAGCCAATGAGAAAGCGTGTATTTCAGAGCTCTGAACAAGTGCAGGTGGCTACTGAAAATTGAAACAGTTTAGCCAGTGCCGTGTAGCGGTGAATAAACGTGTTTTCTTTAGTCTGTCCGTGTTTTTTCATAGATTTTATTAGTTTGTGTGTCTTTGACTTTTGAATACTCAGTTTACTTGTTGATTTAATTGTTGTGTTGATTGTTCTTGTGTGTCCTAAATATGGCTCTTTGGAGACCTTGGGAAAATGCTCCAAGCCACGAGGAGATGGTTGATGAACCCGTGCAGGCAGAATTCTTTCATAAAGATTTAGAGGAACAGACCCAAAGAGTAATCCTAAATATGTATGATTGTCTGAAAAACGAAAATCCAGATTCCTCGCAAAATCAAATTTTAAACAGAATTTGTATCCTGACAAAAATCAGTCGGTCTACCATTTATCGGGTTATAAAAAGGGGAGATGTAGTCAACCATTCTTTCCGCAGAAAGCGCATAGGGCAAAAATTAAAAAGAATAGACGTGGGTTTTCAGGAAGATATTCGTCGTATAATATACGGATTTTATAAAGAAAATTTGGTGCCCACGTTGGAAATGATACGGGATAAATTAAAAGATTATCCTGAAGATTTTTATAATTACAAATGCTTAGACTCACTGCACTGTATTGTAAAAATGTGTCGTTTTCAATACAAAAAATTAGATAAAAGAATGGTGATTATGGAGTCGTCTCGAATCGTTGAATTGCGCCAAGAATTTTTGCACAAAGTTAAAATCTATAGAGAGCAGAAAAGAAATCTGATTTACCTGGATGAAACGTGGTATGATACCCATGATGTTGTGCAGTACGGCTGGGTTGACGACAGCAACAAGTGCATTTTAAATGCACCATGCAACCCTGGAAAACGAATCATTATTCTCCATGCTGGCAGTGAAAATGGATTTATACCTAATGCCTTGCTGTTATCTGCCAAAAATATCAAAGAATCATGTGCCGACTATCATGAGGACATGACCTCCGACTTATTTGAAAAGTGGATAGAGCAGCAGTTAATACCAAACATTTCCCCAAATTCAGTGATTATTATGGACAATGCGCCATACCATTCCCGACAGAAAAACAAAATTCCGAATACAGGCACAAAAAACAAGACATTATTGATTTTATGAAGGATAAGGGAATGGAAATACCACAAAAATCAACCAAAGCCATATTATTGGATCTTATTAAAAGACAAAAATTTGAAAAAGAGTATGTTGTTGACAATCTGCTTCAGCAAAATGGTCATGAAGTATTACGTCTACCTCCCTATTACTGCATTTTTAACCCGATTGAGTTGGTCTGGCCTGCTTTAAAAAAAAGTAAGAAAACATAATCAGACCCCTCAATTAAGTGAATCGCTATTGGCCACAATAAGAGATGCAGTATCTCATATTGCTGCCACAGACCTATGGAAGCAGTGTTCTAGGCATATTATTGAAAATGAATATTGTGTTTTGCCTCCTGTAAATCCCGTTGTAATTCCTCTACAAGATGACTCTAGCGACAGCTCCGAAGGCGAGGATGATATATAAATACCTATAATGTAAGTCTTTATATACCTTTTTATATACCTACCTGCTATGTAAATATTTGCCTATGTCAAACGTTGGAATTATGTAATTTTTCCATTTCTTAACTTTCAGTCAACATAAATTAAACTTCCAATATAAGTATTTTTTATCCCAAATCAAAAAAATAAGAAGATAGTAAAATCCATTTATTGTGATATAAAAACATTATTATTATCGTTCTAAATAAATAACCGCACGCCTATGATACGTCATGAAATTACAAAGGACGCGCCGACCAAAGGTTTTTATGATATTTCAAGTGACTTCAGATAAACCATACATGCCTCTCAACAGCAAATCCAATATGACGCTACTCTCCACAGTCGCGTCTTACCCTTCTGCTCCTATTGCTGCCGTTTTCTGATCCAGTTCAAACGTTAACGACGGTGGTCCACAGTCAGAGGAAGCACTAACCGTGGACGGTATGTAAAAAGTCCAAAGGCTCGAATGCGGCGATAGAGTGTAC